TGTTATTTTGAAATAATCCTAAAATAATTCAAAGCGTGGACACAAAGAATAATGATAACGGCGTCTAAAGAATGTGGAAGAATCTACGGTCTACTACGTGGCGCAACGGTAGCGCGTTTGGCTGCAAATCGGAAGTTCGCGTGTTCGAATCACGTCGGGGTCAGTGGTTGTTGTCTTCTTGGATCCCAATGATGGAGAGCATTAGTTCATGTTCAGAAACGTCTCTGATGAGGCATGCTGTGAGGCGTTGTGGGGTGACTCTGTGGCGTAATAGTAGCGCGTGCGACTGCAGTGCGGATGGCCGTGATCACGTGATGCGGTTGTGTGCGGTTTTTTGATGAGTTGTGCTGTGTCAGAGAATGTTCATACTCAACCTTTCCCTGAGATGGTGTCAACCACTGACGCCTTCGTAATGTTTGGGACTCAGCCAGTCGGTGATGGCGCCTCATACGGAATGCAGTTGGTAAGAGCGAGGGGCTGCGGTGCGCAGGGGCGCCGAAGCCGGAGGTGACGTGGATGCGCGGCGGGCAGACGCTGTGGCCGGGAGCGGGCTGGCGCGCCTTCGAGGAGAGCGGCGTTCACACGCTCCTGCTGCCCGACGCCGGCGCCGACGAGGCGGGCCTCTACACGTGCCGTGCGCGCAACGCGTGGGGGCTGGCCGACACCTCCGCCTCCGTGCAGGTGGGTGGGCGCCTGCCTTCAATGCATCACATGTGTTGGACTGTGGAGGTAAAGGTATAGCCCTACCCCACACAATTGTGCAGGTTAGGATTTGTTGTTTTTTCGTACGTTCGATCTTTCTTCGCATTCAGACCCGTACACATCGTTTGAGCAGGTCACTGAATATCTGTGGTAACTGTTTCTTTCTTGTGCGAACTTGCGTTTCGCGGTAGAAAGATTATATCTCTGAGTAAGACAGATTATGAAAAACATTTCTCAGGACATGGAATTTTTCCAAAGTCTGTGTCTAAAAGGGGTATTTATTTGTTTAACATAAAAAAACTATTGGAAATCTTTGCTGGATGGTTTTGTTATTTGGGGCGGTTGCTTCATTCCCTGACAATGGGCTGCTTTTCTTTCTGCGGAACGAGTAGTTGCGTTGCTCTCAGGTTCCTTTGCCTGATCAGTGAATTTTCGGCGTAAAACCTTAAGGATTCCCTGTCTCTGTATAGAAGTTTGTATACCTATAATCATTTTATGGTTTTCGTACTAAATCAGTTTATCAAAGCGGCTAATGAATTGCTTTATCCAGTCACGATTCATAATAGCTGTGATGATGTTGAAGTAATAATTGTCTGTAAAAATTAATATTCTTTGTAGCCATTTTACATAACAGCGAATATGAGTTGGTGAATTTTTGTTTGTTTTTTCTTTTCATCTTTGGTTGATTGGGTGTATAGGTGAGGAGACCACACAAGAACTCAAAGTTAGCTGGTAACCATCAGCTTCAATGGCAGCGCTAACGGCAAATCAGAAAACTACCCGCTATTGGAACGTCTAGCAATTGACTCTTTGCCACATGTTTTTGGTTCTCCCAAACAGGATTTCGAACGCGGGTTTGCTCAAATACTTTTTGCTCATCGGGTTTTATATCTTGCGCATCACGTACTTACATTGTAAAGAGAAAGTATTGTAATGCTGCAGTGAAAAGTGGCGATTTTCCGTGCGAAAACTCGTCTTGTGGATCTTCCCTACCGAAAAAGTGGATAAATCTTGCTTCTATGTGTAGTAAATGACGTCCTTTAATATGTTGGGAGAGTCCCTGATACCTTAAAATTCTTTCGCGACCAAGTCTGTCTGTCAACAACATTTGCGCCTAAACCATTCATAGGATTTTCTCCAAAATTAAGTTTGTGTAATCGATCTGTCCGACCTCTCAGTCCTGCGAATTTGGAACGTATCCTTTTGATTTTCTTGTTGAGGGGGGTACTTTTTATAAAGCCTTGACATTTTCAAGATTTATAAATAGCTCCAATTTTTTTCTCGAATAGAAGGAAGTTCGCATATCAAATGTGCGCAAGTCTGATTTTCGTCAAATTCTGAATTTTCAAAATTCTCAAAATACTATTTTTGGGCGTTTTCTTGCTTCTTCTATATTGAAGATAAAGATGTTTTCGTAACGGAGTCTGAACTTCAAAATTAGATCTTTAAATAATGTCGTGGAAATTCTTTTCAAAGCTGACTTGCATTTGTTCAACTTTCTTTTTAAAGCGTCGCTTTTTACGCACTTTCTTTTTAATGCGGTTTTGTATACAAAAATCGGATGTCTGTCCACATGGATGGATGGTTGGATGTGTCAAACATAACTGTCAGTAATGATTGCCATATAACTGTCAGTAAAAAAATGCACATGATTTAATTTAATTTAAGGGGAAAGACCTCTTTTTCAATATTGGTGCTGTAGGAAGACTAACAAATTTTGAACTTTTACAATTTTCGGAAATTCAGTAAATTCTTTGAAAATGACGCGTGTGCCATTTTTTAAAATTCAATCCGAGAAAATAATTTAATAAAAATGGAGTCATTATTTGAGTAATTCTTGAAAATGTTATGGTTATGAGTAAAGTACACCTAAAACTCAAAATATCCATTTCAAAATCACACAGCAGATTAATCGATAATCGTTCGGGAATATCAATTGTGTAGGATTGTCTGAACGGTTTATGTTTTAGCGTTTAACTACAAACGGACGAACAAACATTTTGCCGATTACAATTTTTTGCTGTGAAGGACCCACAAAACGGGGATTCCGATACACAAAGTGTCAGAGGAAGTAATTTACTGCATTTCTGGACAAGATTCCCTCTTTCTTTATCAGGGTATCACAATACGTGTTTTTCCGGGGGGAAATCGCCACTTTCCACTTCAGCACTGCAGCACTCTACCTTTACTACGGAAGTCATTAGTAGGCGAGAAAGTATAAAATTAACATTAGCAGAATTATTAGTTGAATTAACACTTTAAACTGAGTGACAAAAGGGATTATTAGGAGATATTTTAATTGTGTAAAGAGAACGAAAGAAAAAGTATAGATTAATTTGAATGTTCGTGATGAATTCTCATCAACATCATTTAATTTCAGTTAATTTGAACATCCGTATAGAATTCGATCGAATTTCGTTGTCTTAATAATGTCGCAAAATATTGATATCATTTCACCCGTTTTCGTGTTCTTTCGCGTAAGGTGATTGAATGAAGCATTTCTTCTCTGCACAGGTGGTGGCTCCTGGCAGCATACGAGGTGGTCACCCTGCCATGTTCGTCTCCCGGCCTGACAACGTCATGGCCGTTGCGCCAGGCGAAGACATAACTGTCTCCTTCAGAGTGAAGGGTGATCCCAAGCCAAGAGGTGAGGTAGCTTTTAACTTACTTATCACTCAGGATTATAGTTTTCAAAGTGTTCTTAACAGGGAAGCCAAAACATGAGGGAATATGCAAAAAAGTAAAAACTGGAGAAAAAAAATTTACAACGCCATCGTAAGAACTGAACATATAGCCTTAATGAAAGTAACGTTTGTAAACACGTACGAAATTGAAATAGCATAGAATAATGCACAACCACAGCAAAGAAAGTATGTAACATCTATTTTGCTTCTGCAAGAGGACAGTATAGAAAAAATCGATAAATTTTATCTTCGCCGTTTACATTTTCCCTTAGGATATTTTCAGATTATTAGTGTATAATAATTATTGTTATTGAAAGTATGTATTGTATGTACGTACTTGGCGCAACAGCCCGAAAACGGGCCCAGACCTACCGGTGATGTCCCTGTCTCTCGGCCGTGGGTACATGTGGTTAGTCCGTAGACATCCCCACGCCGTATTCCGGTCTTCTAAATCTGAGAAGTGAATTTTCTCATCACACAGCAATATACACTGGAACATTGCCAGGAAAACGCACATTATAATCTTGACTGGACACGGAATCGAATCCAAGGCCGCTTAGTGGAAAGCAACTAGGCTGACCAACAGCTAGAGGCGAACCGCCGAAAGGATGTATTAGTTTATAAATTGTAGAAACTCTCGGGATAAGTTTTTATCGTCAAACAATAAGCTAATCTTCAATGCTCTCGCCTTCTTAATATTTCACTATACCTTAACTTCTCTACAGCTATTCTGGCTAGGCAAATAAATGTATTCCTCTTAATAGCAAAATCACATTTGGAATGAATATACGCAGAGATTAAGAGCTGTCTTGTTGTCTCCAGGAAAAACACAATATAACAAAATCAACAAGTTTTATTCAGCACACAAGCAGAGGGCTTATGATCAGTGGAATATCAAAAAACGAAGTCAAAATCGTCTTAAATCGGGAGATGTACAATGAGTCAGTCGACAGTTAATCCAGTAGAATATCCAAACATAATGCCTCGCCGCTCCTCGCCGCTCCTCGCCGCTCCTCGCTGACGCTTCTCGCCGCTCCTCGACGCTCCTGCCGCTCCTTGCCGCTCCTCGCCGCTCCTCTGCCGCTTTCTCGCCGCTGCCTCGCCGCTTCTCGCGCTCCTTGCCGCTCCTCGCCGCTCTCGCCGCTCCTCGCCGCTTCATCGCGCTTTTCGCCGCTTCCCTTCGCCGCTCCTCGCCGCTCCTCGCCGCTCCCTCGCCGCATCTCGCCGGCTCCTCGCAGTCCTCGCCGCTCCTCGAGCTTCTCGCGCTCTTCGCCGCTCCTGCCGCTCCTTGCCGCTCCTCGCCGCTCCTAGCCGCATCTCGCGCTCCTCGCCGCTTCGCCGCTCCTCGACGCTTTCTGCCGCTCCCGCCGCTCCTTCGCCGCTCCTTGCCGCTCCTCGCCGCTTCCTCTCGCCGCATCTCGCCGCTCCTCGCCGCTCCCTCGCCGCCCCTCGCCGCTTCTGCAGCCGCTCACTCGGCCGCTCCTCGCCCTCTTGCCGCTCCTCGCCGCTCCTCGCCGTCCTCGACGCTTCTAGCCGCTCCATCAGCCGCTCCTCGCCGCTCCTTGCGCTCCTCGCCGTCCTCGCCGCTTCATCGCCGCTTCCTCGCCGCTCCTCGACGCTCCTCGCCGCTCCCTCGCCGCGCCTCGCCGCTCCTCGCCCTGCTCGCCGTCCGGGCCGCTCCTCGCCGCTCCTGCGCCGCTCTCGACGCTTTCCTCGCCGCTCCTCGCCGCTCCTCGCCGCTCCCTTGCCGCTGCTGCCGCTCCTCGCCGCTCTCGCCGCTCTCGCCGCTCTCGCCGCTCTCGACGCTTCTCGCCGCTGCCTCGCCGATCCTCGCCGCTCCCGCTGGCTCCTCGACGCTTCTCGCCGCTCTCGACGCTCCTCGCGATCCTTGGCCGCTCGCTCGGCCGCTTCCTCGCCGCTTCTCGCGCTCCTCGCCGCTCATCGTCGCTTCTCGCCGCTCCTCGCCGCTCCTCGACGCTCTCGCCGCTCCTCGCCGCTCCTCGCCGCTCCTCGCCGCTCCTCGACGCCTCCTCGCCGCTCTCGCCGCGCCTCGCGCTCCTCGTCCGCTCCTCGCCGTTCCGGGCCGAATCCTGCGCAGCTCCTCTCGCCGCTCCCATCGACGCTTCTCGCCGCTCCTCGCCGCTCCTGCCGCTCCTTGCCGCTCCTCGCCGCTCCTCGCCGCATCTCGCGTCCTCGCCGCTCTCGCCGCTTCCTCGACGCTTCTCCGCCGCTCCTCGCCCGCCCTCGCCGATCCTTGGCGCTCCTCGCCGCTCCTCGCCGCTTCCTCGGCCGCTTCTCGCGCTCCTCGGCCGCTCCTCGCCGATCCTTGCCGCTCCTCGCCGCTCCCGCCGCTTCCTCGCCGCTCTCGACCCTTCTCGCCGCTCCTCGCCGCTCCTCGCCGATCCTTGCCGCTTCTCGCGCTCCCGCCGCTTCAATCGCGCCGCTCCTCGCCGCTCCTCGAAGCCTCCATCGCCGCCCATCGCCGCTCCTCGCCGTTCCGGGCCGCCTGCCTCGCCGCTCCTCGCCGCTCTCGACGCTTCTCGCCGCTTCCTCGCCGCTCTCGCCGCTCTTGCCGCTCCTCGCC